GTACATATTCTCTGCGACGTAGGGTGGAGGGTTCTCTCCGTAACAGCGCAAGCCACTGTGTTTATGCAACCCTCCTCGTGTCCGTTGGGTGGTAACAGCGCGGCAACAACATGTGTAGAGCAGTAAATAGTCAAAGTCAAGACTCTCGGTTGCTTCTCGTAAGTGTCTGCCTGCTCCCCATTGTTCTCGGAGCCATGGACAGGGTTGGTTTGAATAGCGTGAATGTTTTCCATTGCGTAATAGCAGAAGATGCAACACTTGGAGTTGGGAGCTCACGGTGCTACGTATCTTTCGCGAAGCTCGGAAAGATTAGCGTTGCAACTGCAAGGCACAGCAGCAGCAGCAGCAGTGCACCGGCGTCAAACACAACGCTAAACATGCTTTGAATATGTACTACAACTAGCCTGTTCCCGCTGCGGAAAATACGAAAAGCGGCGACAGCGAACGCACAAGTGCTGTGCAACGCAAACGGTACTTGGTCGCAAGCGATGATATTCGTCAACCTGCTTCCGGTGTATTGCCTGCAAGCTGCCTGCGTGCTGCTGCACACATTCAGCCCGTTCCTACCGCGGAACATATGAAAACCGACGACACCGAAGGCACAAGTGCTGCGCAACACAAAAGGTTGTTCGCAAGCGTTTTGATAATCGTCGAGCTGCTGGCAGTGTATTGTCTGCAAGCTGCCTGCGTGCTACTGCACACACAGCGCTGTGTGCATTCGGTCGGTGTATTGTACCGCAGCAGCAGCATGTGGGGTAGATTGTATCCAAGCCCGCGTTGACTGCGTTGCACACAGCAGCTTGGTTCCTGCCTTGGAAACTGAAAAGCGACGACACCAACACCACAAGTGCTGTGCGATACAAACACGAGCCTGCTGGCGGTGTCTTGCCGGCAAGCTAAGTGCTGCTGCTGCTACTGCACGCACACACCCGCGTGTGCATCATCCATTGTTGCATCATTAGGTAGGCTATTGCTGTAGCAAGGCAACGGCAACACGTTCCACAAATGCCGAGGTTGAATGATCAAATAGATAATGAACGCCTCCACCCCGAACGTGTTTCAGCGAGGCAAAATCAAGACGGTCAGAAATCAAGCAGGAGGGGAGAAGCACTCACACGTGTTTCCATGTCGTCGTCTGCCCTGGCCTCGCCCCTCTCCTGCTCTATTGGACGATGGAGGATGATGTATCCGTAGCAACGAAGACGAGCAATAGTTATTATCTACTCTTGTCGTTGTCTTCGACAAGCAGGAAGCCAGCGTAGGGGGGGGGGCGCACACAAGAACCTGGCTCATCGACCCCCCTCGATCTTGTTGTCCCACAGAGAGGGCTAGTTTTCAGAGTTGCCAGCCTGAGACAGCGACCATCACACGAACGCTTGCAACATGATGCGGGGGGCGCCTACCGCAGCAGCAGCAACGCGCCTGGCGGTCCTCGCCGGCGCGATGATGATCATCGCGTCCGCCTTTCAGGTGTGCCATCCGCCGAAATACCGAAGGCGTGGCGTATTTGTTGGGTCGCCGCCATCATCGCCTTCTCAACAGCGGCTTCAACTGCTGCCGCATCAGCCAACAGTCCGAACTACTCCCATGCATCCAACAAGCAGCAACCTGGCTCGGGGGGGGGGGGGGGGTTCGCTG